GTCCATATGGAAAGGGGGTTTTGGAAAAATAAAGAAAGAGCCCCTCATCCGCATCGACTCCTTTTGGGGGACCCCCTGCCCGCCCCCGTATCCTGTCCCCAAAGTTTCAAAGTTATCGTGCGCCCAGGGCCACCTGCCGCTGGGGAGGTCCGGCCGCCCCTGCAGCCCCCAGGGGTGTCTTGGAATTGTCTTGGGTGGGGGGCTGTCCACTCGGGGTCTGCAGCTTTGGGGGTGTGCGGATGCTTTGCGGGTCCCCGCGCAGGAGGTCGAGGGCTGGTAGGGGCCCCTTCTCCTTTTGTGTTCGCCTTGGCTCCGCAGTGCCTGAAGTTGGAGGGGCCGTGGCGAGGGCCGGGTATCACGTCCGCCCCAGGGGCCACCCCTGTCGGCTGCGGCGGTCACGCGAGTCCGGGGATCCAGGGCCTGCGGCCGGGCCCTGGAAGAAGGGGCGTTAGGGAAGGGGGGCGCGGTCTGGGCCTGCTGGGCAGAAGGGCATTTCCGGTCGCAGGATCTGTCCCCCAGCTCAGGCCTGCGAGATGGCCGTCGCCAGGCTGGCGGGGTGGGAGGGCAGTTCGTGGAGGCTGCAGGGTGCTGGGTCCGGCACCTGGGGGGCGCGCCGCGAGGCTGGGGGCCCTGGCAACGCTGAACAGACCTCAGGCACCCCCTTCTGCCCCCAGTGGGCTGGGGCTGTCTTCGGATTTTTGTTTCCTCCTGTCTTCTCGTCCACATTGCCTGGTTGGGATTTTATACAGTGCCTGGTTTGGGGGTCCTCCACAGAGACAGACAAAGCAGTTTTCCCGGTCCCGGGGTGGTGGGGGGATGGAATCATATACAGACCATTCACTCTGATAAAACAGGATGGCTGTGGTGCCTACCTGGTACCAACTGGGCAGATGGAGAGCTGGGGCTGCAAATGGAGTCTGGGGGTCTGAAGAAGGGGGCTGGGCCTGGAGTGAGGATCTGGGGCCCACAGCAGGGTGATCAGGGGTATCATTTCCCCAGTTGCAAGCCAGCACTTTGATTCCTAGGCACCAGACTTGGAACCCCAACTTCTTGCCATTTCCCTCAGTGCCTGCAGTTCATGTAGTCTGATGAAAATAGCAGAATGCAGATCCTTGAATTTTCACACAAATGCGATAATTATAGTACAGTTAGCAACTGTGTTGGACACAGACTCCTAGCAAAATCTTTCCTTCTACTACCAAGACTTCCCCCCCCCCCAACAAAACCCTTCCTGGTCTTCCCCACTTGTACCTCCCATAGAAGTTGGCTGTAAGCTAGAATTAACATGGGGCCCAAACCTGGCAGCTTTTTTTTTTTTTTTTTAAAGAGAGAGAGAGAGAGAGAGAGAGAGAATTTTAATATTTATTTTCCAGTTTTCAGCGGACACAACATCTTTGTATGTGGTGCTGAGGATCGAACCCGGGAGGCACTCACACCAGGCGAGTGTGCTACTGCTTTGAGCCACATCCCCAGCCCCAAACCTGGCAGCTCTGAGACCAGAGGGTGCCTTGAGTTGGGAAGGAGAAACCTGTCTCCAGAAAAGATGAGATTTGAGGGTAGGAGAGGGGTTTTGTGATACATGAGCTGAGATGGGGTTTGTGCTGCAAGTTCTGAGCTGTTGGGTTAGACAGTTCACAATTTGGTTTGTTGAATTATTTAGAGGCTAAGAAGTTGCTGGTCTCTTGAGTCTTAGGTATACAAAAATTGAGGTATCAGTAGTTTTGGGTTTGAGAAACTGAAAATAAATTTTTAAATGGCACCTTTTAGTTTGTAACAAAAGGGCTTTCACATGTTAGCTTACCTGTCCTCTGTAGCAATTATATCTGATAGACGTTTTTTTTTTTTAAAGAGAGAGAGAGAATTTTAATATTTATTTTTTAGTTTTCTGTGCACACAACATCTTTGTTTGTATGTGGTGCTGAGGATCGAACCCGGGCCGCATGCATGCCAGGGGAGCACGCTACTGCTTGAGCCACATCCCCAGCCCTCTGATAGACGTTTTTTGAAAAATTTTTTTAGTGGTAGATGGACACAAAACCTTTATTTATTTATTTATTTATTTATTTATTTTTATGTGATGCTGAGGATCACACTTAGTGCCTCAACATGCTAGTCAAGTGCTCTACTGCTGAGGTACAACCCCAGCCTCTGATAGACATTTTTTCAATCTTCCTTTTCCAGAAGAGAAACCTGAGTCTTAGATAATAGGGTGTCCTGCTTCCTAATTAGTTTTCTGACTCAGACCTTTGCCCTTTCCCAGAGTCCTGGGCTACCAAGCAAGTGCCTCTGGTGAGCTGCTGGGGGTCAGGTGTGGGGTTGAGCCATTTATAGTCTGGCTGGAAAGTGAGCCAATGAGAGAACCAAAAAGTGTTTAACTCTGGGGTCAGTGCACTGGGAGTAGAGAGAAGAGAGCTCAGGTTAACCTGAAAAAGTTAGGGAAGGCTTCCTGTAGGAAGCTGAATTTGAGTGTGAAAGAATGGGGAGGTTTGGCCAAGGAGAAGAGCAAGGCAAGTACTGAATTATTCCTGTGCTGCAAAGTTGATTTACATTCTAATTCTTACTGTAGTTTCAGAAGGGGTGGGCATTTTCATCTCCAGTCATTGAAGAAATTGAGGAACATAGAATTTGTGTGCCATCTTAAGGTCACTCTGCCAAATTTGAACACAGGCCCTCATGACTCTTGCATGTACTCCTGTCCTCTATAGCCACCTTCATTTCAAAACAGAGATAAGAACAGGAACTGGGATGATCTGAACTGCCAAATGCAACAGGGCTCATGCTAAAAGATCAGCAGGTTCCCAAGGCCAGGGAATTCTACTGAACTAACTGTGTATCCCAGGCCCCTCATAGCTGACCAGCACAGAGGGCGGAAGAGGGTAGAGGGAGGACAGCCCTGAGTGTGGAAGTTCCTTAGTACCTGCTGGAGACTGGCTTGGACCCTGGAGGAGCCCTGGATGATTTACCCAAGCCTTCCGAGGACAGGAGCTGGGTCTGATTCACCCTCTGCCTCCAGCCCTAGTGGACATGCCAGGAGGACAAATCTAACCATTCTGTTGTCCAGTTGAATTATATCCCAGTGTGGAGGAAGGTTTATTTTGCCTGGGGTTGAAGGTCTTCCTAGAAGAAGTGCCATTTGAACATTTGAAAGATAGGAACGAGGAAGGCCAGAGAAGGAGCATTCTAAGTAGAGACAGTTGGACAAAAGCAGAGAAAAGGCCTATGCAAAGAAGACACAGGCCACCTGGTACAGCCACAGTATAGGAAGCAGATGGGAGTTGCAGTTCAGGTCAGGCTCTGCCACTGAAGTCCCTTTGGTTCTCTGAGCCTTTCTGTTCTGAAAATGAGCCCTGAGATTTGTTGATGTTTGATGGTAACCCATGCCTGGAGACGGGAACAAGAAAACCAAATGAAGAGCCGGACACAGTGGCATATGCCTATAATCCCAGCAGCTTGGGAGGCTGAGGTAGGAGGATCGTGAGTTCAAAGCCAGCCTCAGTAACAGTGAGACACTAAGCAACTCAGTGAGACCCTGTCTCTAAATAAAATACAAAATAGGGCTGGGGATGTGGCTCAGGGGTCAAGTACCCTTGAGTTCAATCTGCAGTACCACCTCCACCCCCCCAAAAAAGAAAATCAAATGAAAGGAGCTAGAGGAATTTTACATTTTTTAATGAATCTAACGAATATTGGTCTAGCAATTCCCTAGTGAGCAGGCCCAATTGTGAGTCCTAGATTATTTTACTTAATCCTCATAACAGCCCTATAGGTAGGCCCTATAATTATCCCCATTTTACTGATAAAGAAACTAAAGCACAGAGAGGTTAGATGACATTGCATAAGGAACAGAGAAGTGAAGCCGACCCAGGCAGCCTGGCTCTGGAGTTGGCTCCATGCGGGCTAAGAAGGAAGAGGGGAGATGATAGGACCCGCGATGCAGGCCCAAGCATGGTTCAGACAGCAGAAGGTGGAGGTGTCCTCAGGAGGCTGGCTTCTGTGCAGCAGGAGGCCCAGCCTGGGCTGATGAAGTGACTACAGTGTCAGCTCCCTGGGGCCTCCACGGAAGCCAGCTCCTTTCATCACACTTAATGGTCCATAGAAAACGGGCTCCTTTTCCTTCCTCTGTCATCACCAGCCACAGGACTCCTTGCCGCCTTATTTATTTCCCCTGGTGAGTCTGTTTCTTTGCAAGCACCATAATGGCTTCTGCAGGTGTGCACTAGCACTGTTTCCCCAGCAAGCCGTGGGAGCCTGCAGGGAAGGAGGGATGCAGTGTTGCTGCCTCACTCCAGAACCATCTAGTTAACTTCAGTTCAGCATCAACTCCTGAGCCCCCAATGGGAGGCTGAGACATGATGGCAGCAATGACAGCAGCCACCATGACATTTAATGCCACCCTGTGCCAGCACAGTGCTTGGCACTTTCTTTGCTTTCTCTTATTGAATCTGTTTCAAAACTCTTTGAGGCAGGAACAGTTATTATCAACCTCATTCTGAAGATGAGAAGAATGAGATTCAGTGAGATTAAGGAACACACCCAAGGTCACACAGCTGTGGTAGAGCAGAGAGTTGGTTTGAGGTCTTACTAGCCATGCAGGAGTGATGCTAGCAAGTTACTTGTAGTCTGCACCAATCTGTTTTCCTCCCTCCCTCCTTCCCTCTCTACTTCCCTCTCTGTCTCTTTCTGGTACTGGGGATTGAACCCAGGATCTCACACATGCTAGCTAAGTGCTCTACCTCTGAGCTATGTCAGTAGCGCAGCCTGCTCTTTTCTGTCTGGAAATCCTTATTATTAGTAGCAGTGGTGACAGTAGTAGTAGTAGTAGTAGTAGTAGTAGTAG